TGGGGCTGACAGGCTGGTGGTGAGAGCTCCAGGGAGACTGTGAGCCTCTTGTCCATGGGATGGAGCAGAAGCCAGGAGAAATTCAGTGGAGAAATGGCAAAAGAGACCCTAATTGGAGGGAGGGAGGGAGGGAGGGAGGGAGAGAGGGAGGGAGGGAGGGAGGGAGGGAGAGAGGAAGGGAGGGAGGGAGGGAGTGGTGGGGCGTTACCTACTGGCTACATGACCAGTCAAAATGTCCTATGGAAGAATGTATTACTGATGATCAGGGTCTGGGCATTTCAGGTTCTTGACCTTTTATCCGAAGAATTGAAAATTAGGGCTCACTCGGATTTGCTTTAGAAGCAAGAGGACTTTGTTCTTAACAAAGCAGTAAGGCAGGTTGTAGAGGGACACTGTCAAGACTGATAGTGGGCCACATGAGTGAGGACACTCAAGGGCCCCAATTCCTGCTTGGGGCTTCCCTTTCTGAGGTTCAAGAGAAGAAAGAGGATGTCTAGGAGTATAATGAAGGTGGGTCTCTATTTTGATTGACAGATTAGTTATATAATCATTTTCCTTATTGTGCAGTACTTTTCTAGAATGCATCCAGTTTTTTGTTTGTTTGTTTGTTTGGGTTTTTCAAGACAGGGTTTCTCCATGTAGTTTTTGGTGCCTGTCCTGGATCTTGCGCTATAGACCAGGCTGGCCTCGAACTCACAGATATCCGCCTGCCTCTGCCTCTCGATTAAAGGTGTGTGCCACCACCACCAGGTTTTTAATCATATGCACGCTCTACTGTGTATAGGAATAAGATGGTAAGTGAGGATTCTCCCCAAAAGGTGACTAGAAGAAGCATTTTTTTGCCTTTTGTTTTACCCACACCCCAAATCAGTCAGGCAAGATCAGCCCGTTTGTCCTTCATACCCAGATACACTTGGATACACTCTCTAAATCTGTTAATATCCAGGGGAGGGGAAGCTTATACTGCTGTTCAGATGGGAGGACATGTAGCTGGATTCCAGGTGAGCTGTCGGGATTCCGAGGTTGCTAGGTGTACTGTCTGGGGAGAGGTTTGTGTGCACAGAGGTTTGTGTGCACAGAGGTGTGTGTGCACAGAGGTGTGTGTGCAGGTGAAGGAACTAGGCTCCAAGTGCATTATTATAAAAAGGGGATGTGCATAGCCTAAAAATAAATGAGGATCCCATGGCAGATTGTCCCGTGCTTGCCTGCCTCAGATGGTTGGACTCTTCAACACTTCAGTTGCTTTGCCCGTGCATGGGTGTGGCTTGTCTCTGTGCTCAGCCACGGTCAGAGATCAATAACTTTCCCCCTTGGAGCCGAGATGGAACTGGCTGGGGAAGTAAAGACAAGGGCCCCCAAATCAGCCTCGGTCTGTGCCCACCTTTAAGGGACCGGGGTCCAGAGTTTTCAACACTGGTCCATACACCAGTTACCTAGAACTTTGAGAAATCTGATATACAGATAGTGCCAGGACTATTCAAATCAGAAACCCCTGTGAGAACTGCTGGATTAAATGAGACAGGGCAGATGCCCTGGGGAGAAGGTGATGTTCAATGGGTATGACCCCTGCTCCTCATGGTTATGGACAGGAGGTTTAGGTCTAGAGTTAGGATTCCCATCAGGGCTCCAGTGAGCAATAGAGTTAGGGCTAGGGCCAGATTTAGGGTTCAGTTTAGGGCTAGGATTAGGATTAATGCTGTGGTTATTCAGGGCTATTGTTAAGACTGTGGTAAGAGTAAGGGTTAGGATCTGGTTATGGCTAGAGTTAAGGTGAGTTTTTATTGCCTCCCTTTCTCTGACACCCCCCTTCTTGGTTCTTTGAGGGAAGGAGTTTCCGATCTCCATGTTCACCCTTCTTTCATTATAGGCAAGCACCTTAGAGATGGAGAATTTTTTTACTCATGCTAACTGCTTGAATCCTCTCACTTTGCACTTTAAATATTATACCATCTCATCACTTATTTTCTGACTTCATCTTCAAATACTACTTAATGTCTCTCATCTTCCTGGTAAAATCTGGAATTTAGAGAGAATCTTGTATTCTGTGTCCCTAGAGGTTAAACTTAGCCAAAGTATATTGAGCTGGTCAGAGGCAAAATCTAAGGCATAAAGGAGTCTGCTCAAAATAGAACATAACTCATCTATGTCAATTATAACACCCCTCATCTATGTCAATCATAACATCCCTCATCTATGTCAATTATAATACCCCTCATCTATGTCAATTATAACACCCCTCATCTATGTCAATTATAACACTCCTCATCTATGTCAATTATAACACCCCTCATCTATGTCAATTATAACACTCCTCATCTATGTCAATTATAACACCCCTCATCTATGTCAATCATAACATCCCTCATCTATGTCAATTATAATACCCCTCATCTATGTCAATTATAACACCCCTCATCTATGTCAATTATAACACTCCTCATCTATGTCAATTATAACACCCCTCATCTATGTCAATTATAACACCCCTCATCTATGTCAATCATAATACCCCTCATCTATGTCAATCATAACACTCCTCATCTATGTCAATCATAACACCCCTCATCTATGTCAATCATAACACCCCTCATCTATGTCAATCATAACACCCCTCATCTACACCCCTCATCTATGTCAATCATAACACCCCTCATCTATGTCAATCATAACACCCCTCATCTGTGTCAATCATAACACCCCTCATCTATGTCAATCATAACACCCCTCATCTCTGTCAATTATAACACCCCTAATCTATGTCAATCATAACATCCCTCATCTATGTCAATCATAACACCTCTCATCTATGTCAATCATAACACCCCTTATCTATGTCAATTATAACACCCCTCATCTATGTCAATTATAACACCCCTCATCTATGTCAATCATAACACCTCTCATCTATGTCAATTATAACACCCCTCATCTATGTCAATTATAATACCCCTCATCTGTGTCAATTATAAGAGCCTTCAGACCTTCCAAGCATTTTTAATAAGCTCACTTATAAGTCATATTTAAAAAATAAAAAAATTGCACTTGTTTTCTCTAAAGGAAGGGAGTTTTTCCATCTTGTGGGTGTTGGAGGGGATGGAAAGGAGTCGAGTTGTCTGCAGGACTGGAGTCCACCTCCAGGGACACACTGCCGGCAGATGTGCTGGGCAAGTTACATTTTTTACTGCTAGTATTTTAAGTGCCCACAAATTACATACAAAAAGGCCAGAAATTTCCTTGCAAAATAGAAAAAAAATTTAATTATAGTATTTTAAAAATCTTCATTTAAAAGGTAACCTTATCCTAAATAAGTTTTTTCCTCATTCATATATTTTATTTAAAAAATAACTTTTCTTTATTCTTGAGAATTTCATACATCTATAGAATGTAAACTACATCCTGGATTTCCTCCCTACAACTCCTTCAGTTTTTCCTCAATGTGTCACCCTCCAAACTTCATGTCTTCTTTTTTTATAACCCACTAAGTCTCATTAGTGCTGTGTATGCCCTCTTGGATGTGAAGACCCTATTGCTGATGACATCACACACTTTGCCTGCAGGACGTAGAGAAACCATCCTCCAACTGACTAGGAAACTTCCTCCCTGCTGACTAGTCTCCATAATGTCTAAAGGTGCTCTGCAGGCCCTTGGAGTAGAAAAGTCTTCAGTGGCCTTACTCAGGGCTGGACCCCCCATGACACAATGCCAGCCTACTAGACCAGATGTGCCCACTGATGCGATAGTGGCATGACAGTTACGGCTACCTAACTACTTTCTGATTGGACTTGAGGCCTGTTCCTCAGGAGGGAAATTCCTGCCTGGTACTATGTTGTTAATTTGCTAAATGGCCATGCTGTGAAATTGCCTTTTGAACATTCATGTTGATACCCATAAACGTGGGCATTCTCTCGGGTCTATGGGTACCCATCTTTTTGCAGTGGCTAGCAGTTGGTGCATAGATGTATAATTGGCCAAAGTGCCAAGAACAAAAACTTTTACTGCTCAGCCCTATGTGGGGTATGTTTATCAACCTTGTCCCCAGTAAGTAAGGCTTTATGGTGAGGAAATGGCATGTCCACTTGCTTTTTCTTTAAAGAGGAAGTGTCCCAGATGGTACCAGCCTTTCCTCAATACCACGAATTATAAAGTTTGGAGCAAGTGAAACTCACACAGAGATGGCCTTTGGCAGACCCTGCAAATGATGCATTCTCTTGGAAGGGAACTCCTAGCCACTCAAAGAATCCAATCTGCAGGTCTTTGGAGCAGAGTTGGAAGTTTTCTAAACCTTGTTTGCTGAAAGAAGCCCGGAAAGGACCCAGAGAGAATGTTAACTGCTGTCTCTGGGAGCAGGGCTGGAAGGGAACAGGCTGGCTCTGGGACACCCTAAGGTAGCTGCAGTAAGAAATATGATTCCACTAAACCTCTGGTGGAAGATGTCATAGAAGGAAAGAGACGAGGACCTAGAAATGGATTTAGTGGACAAGCTCATCTTTATTATAAACGTTTTTACAATGGTTTTCATGCCTTGATGAGAAAAATCCAAGAGAATCCCTCCAAGAGGGATGATGGCTACCCTGGTTTTCACTCTGTGCAAGCTGACTGTGCTTTAGGATGTCAGGTACATTGGCGATGATAAGACCAAATGAGAAGATCTGGAATATGACCCCCTCCCCCCCAAAGAAATGATATCACTTCATTTCTTGATACAGAGGTAGAAAGTTAACAGCTTTCTATTTAACTCAATAAAACATGTGTTTTAAGATAATTTAGTGACCTGGAGATTGTAGTGATGGACAACTCTCCATCGGGTGGTTGATATCTTTTTTCCAGCTCAGGGCTATTTGAAAGCACTGTGGGGGGGGGGGTCAGTTTTGAGTGCTAATTCAGAGGTGTCTGGTGTCTCCTGTGTTTTGTTCGTACTAGATGGTTGTGAAACGTGATTGCTGCAACATTTCCAATTCTTCTCTGCAGCACCTTGTTCTCTCACTTCCTTTCCCCCCCAGGAAAGTGACAACATTGGAGGATCCTGATCAGAACATTCACCTGAAAAACCTGTCTCTTCATCAGGCAACAACCGAGGAGGAAGCTTTGAACTTGCTCTTCTTGGGGGATACCAACAGGATGATTGCAGAGGTAAAAGGCATCTCTCCTCAAGTGACTTTTCCAAAATTGTCAGACATAATAGAATCTGGAGGCTGCCAAGACCTTCATAATGATATTGTCCAAATCTCATGTTGCAAACTAAGAAACCTGGATCTGTAGAAATGAGATCTTCCCTGGGTCACCTAGTGTGGTGGTTAGTTTTAATTGTCAATTTGAAACAGCATAGAATCACTTTGGAAGAGAGTCCTAGTGAGGGGTTGTCTGCGTTGGGTTTGCCTGTGTCCCCAGTAGGGGAAGACCCAGCCTACTGTGGGTGGCACCATTCCCTAGGCTGAGCACAAGCAAGCAGGAGCATATGAGCAGTTGTTTCTCCTTGCTCTTGACTGAGTGTGATGTGACCAGCTATCTCCAGCTCCTGCCGCCATGACTTTCCCATGGTGATAGATGTGACCTGTGATTGTGAGCTAAAACAAATCCTTCCTGCCTAGTCCCACTCTTGAAGTGTCTGTTCTTTATTTTGGTGTAAGATAGGAAACTGGAAAATACACTTCATTTAAAGGTCTCTAGTTTCCCTTCACATTGTGGGAATCCTCTCCTCCACAGCAGTCTGTTGAAGGTCAGGTTCAGTGAGCAGGGTCAGACACCTGGACCTCCTTGTTCCCAGCCCTCTGCTTTCTACTTTGCCACATTGTCTGTCTTTTCACTTTTCTGTTTTTCAATTTAATACAGATTGTTTTGTATCTAATCAATGGCAACCCATAAAACATCTTAATTTTAAGATGTATAATTTTGAAATTGAAAACCATAAGGCACAGTTCATTCTTCGAACTCAGATTGTCAGTCTAGTGGCATGTGTTTATGTCCCCATGTATTTGTAAAACACTCAGAAAATCCCATGAAACACAGGAAGTTGGGTGTCGTATGTCCCAGGGCATGTTTGGACACACTTATACTAAAAAGCATCCTTTGCTTCTCTGATGTTCAGATTCAGCTGGGTTTCTTGGTTTTGTCTGAGACCCCTAGGCAGCAGCCAGGATTGACCCAAACCTTGACCAGTTACTGGTGAGGGTTGGAGGGTCATGAGGCGCCATTCAGTCATACCCAACTGCAAGGAGTGGATATAGTGTAAAAGGTGATGATGGTGGTGATGATGATGGTGGTGATGGTGATGGTGTGGAAACAAGTCTCTTCTGGGCACTGACAGCCACCATAGTGACTTTCCTTTTCATACTTATAAAAATTGTTCTGTGTGTATGACTCTTTTGCCTGCTGTGTGTCTGTGCACCTTGTGTATCCCTGGTGCCCAGGAAAGCCAAATCCCCTGGAGCTGGTTACAGATGGTTATGAGCCTGCCTGTGGGTGCTGGGAATCAAACCCAGGTCCTCTGGAGGAACAGCCAGTGCTCTTAACCACTGAGCAATCTCTCCAGCCCTGGGACTTTCTTTTAAATCATCCTTTCAGACATCATATTTCATATTATTGCTGGTGGTGAGTGGAAGGTGGGAATCTAGCTAGTCAGAGAAGTCTCCATTGAATGATATGTTTTCTGCTGGGTGCCCACCTCTGGAATGCACTCTCCTGAGACATGGAAGTGATAGACCCAGACTCAGACCTTGGAAGCATGCTGTTGACATCTTATTACCCTTAGGAATGGGGCCCTTAGTATTGTTTACATTTTTCTACTAATTTTGGTGTGTGTGTGTGTGTGTGTGTGTGTGTGTGTGTGTGTGTGTATGTGTGGTGTGTGCATGTGTATCTGCTCACACACACAGATGGAGGCCAGAGGTTGATGTTAGGTCTCTTCCTAATTATATATAGTTGTGTACTGAGGCAGGAGCTCTGACCTGAAGCCAGAGCTCACCATTTGGCTAGTTTGGATAACTAGCTTGATTCAGAGGTCCCTGTCTCCACCTTCTGAGTGCTTGGAGTATAGACAAGCTGTCCCTACCTGCCCAACACTGTTGTGGGTATTGGGGGACTGAACTCTGCCCCTCACACTTGTGAGACAAGCGCTTTACCTGTTGTCTTAGTTACTTTTCTATTGCAATGGCAAAGCACCAAGGCAACTTACAAAAGAAAGCATTTCATTTAGGGCTCACGGTTTCAGAGGGCTGGAGTCCATGACCATCATGGTGGGGAGCATGGGAGCAGGCAGTTAGGCATGGCGCTGGAGCAGTTAGCTGAGAACTCACACCTGAAACAACAATCATGGGGCAGGCCAAATCCTTCACAAACAGTTCTACCAACTGGTGACTAAGCATTCTCATTTCAAATATATGAGCCATTTTCCTTCAATCAGCCTCACACTCTGAGCCTTCTCCCCAGCCAGTTATTTACTAACTGGATTGTTTTAAATACACTGATCACCTTATGTAGGCTGAGTTTAAGTGACATATGCATTTAAGGACTTCTGAATTGATTCTTTCACTGGAAGAAAGTTCACCTAAGTTTTCATCTCTGAGTATCTCACTCTGTTTCCTGTTCCGGTTTGTGTTCAATGCTTCAGTGTTTTGCCATGAGGTCATCTGGGTCACTCTTACTGTTTCCAATAACTGAAGCTGATGGACTAAAGGCAGATTAAAAACGAGTGCATCTGAATGAGGAAAGACGTGAGGAATCTGACGGTCTGTACGCAGGTTTAGTGACAGCGAGCCAGGCGATGCAGAGTGCACAAGGACTTATGGGAAGGGGAAGCCGTTCTGAACGCCGCGGTGAGAGGAGCTGGCCCAGCCTCAGTCTGGCCTTCCTCGAGGGTGACTCTGCTTGTGGTGGCCTTGCTCTGTCTTCAGTGAGTTTTGGAAAAGCTCTGACCCTCTTCACCACAGCCTCGGAGAGTTTGAAAGCTTGACCATTTGTTACTTCTGAGTTATGCATTAAATTTAACTCCCTGTGGGGCTGGGGAGGCAGCTCAGGAGATGAAGCACCTGCCATGCGAGTGTGAGAACAGGAGTTCAGATCCCAAGAACCTGTGAAAAGGCCGGGCAGCTGTGAAGGTCGCCTGTAACCCAGCACTCGGGAGGTGGAGGCAGGATCCCCAGAGCGAGCTGTCTAGCTTCAGTAGCTGGAATTGGGGGAACTGATGACCAGGGGTTTAGTAAGAAATACAGCTGTAGGAAATGAAGAGTGACTGAGGATTGCATTCGGCATCAGCTTTGGGTCTCAATACACACACACATGCATCACACACACACACTATACACATACACTGTGCATACACACACCATATATACACACACTGTACACACACACACACCCTACATACACACACACTGTGCATACACACACCATATATACACACACTGTACACACACACACACCCTACATACACACACACACTGTGCATACACACACCATATATACACACACTATACACACACACACCCTACATACATACACACACTGTGCATACAGACACCATATATACACACCCTGTACACACACACCCTACATACACACACACACTGTGCATACAGACACCATATATACACACACTGTACACACACACACACCCTACATACACACACACACACTATGCATACACACACCATATATACACACACTGTACACACACACACACCCTACATACACACACACACTGTGCATACACACACCATATATACACACACTGTACACACACACACACCCTACATACACACACACACTGTGCATACACACACCATATATACACACCCTGTACACACACACCCTACATACACACACACTGTGCATACACACACCATATATACACACACTGTACACACACACACACACCCTACATACACACACACACTGTGCATACACACACCATATATACACACACTGTACACACACACACCCTACATACACACACAGTGCATACACACACCATATATACACACACTGTACACACACACCCTACATACACACACACTGTGCATACACACACCATATATACACACACTGTACACACACACCCTATATACACTCACACTGTACATACACACACCATATATACACACACTGTACACACACACACACCCTACATACACACACAGTGCATACACACACCATATATACACACACTGTACACACACACCCTATATACACTCACACTGTACATACACACACCATATATACACACACTGTACACACACACCCTACATACACACACACTGTGCATACACACACCATATATACACACACTGTACACACACACCCTATATACACTCACACTGTACATACACACACCATATATACACACACTGTACACACACACCCTACATACACACACACTGTGCATACACACACCATATATACACACACTGTACACACACACCCTACATACACACACACTGTGCATACACACACCATATATACACACACTGTACACACACACACAATACATACCATATATACACACCATACACACACACCATACACATATACCATATACACACATACCATATATACATACATACACACACTATAGACACACATACAATTCACACACCATATATGCACATACTACGCACACAACACACATACACACACATACATACATACACACACACCATACATACATACACTCTATACACACATACCATGCACACACACCATACACATGCACACCATACAGACACACATACACAGACACTACACACACCATACATACACATACACTATACACACACATACACACACACTATACATACACACTATGCACACACACGTACATACACACACACTTATACACACTTTTTTTAGTTGACTCTATACAGAATTTCTGACCATTTTAAAAAGATTTAAGGAATGTCCTTCGTGAAATGTCCCTGACAGGTTCCCACTCACAGGCTCGCCAGTCTTTTTCCTATTGCTTGCTGGGGGATTTATTGACTAATAATCTCATGAAGGCCTGAAGCCCCACGCAGTCCAGTTCTAGTGTTAATCCATTAATATCTGTTTAATGAGCTCATCTTTTCTGTGTTTGCCTGTATTTTTTCATTGATAAATCAGTGATCATAGTCACACCATCTAGTAGACTTGTCATGTGA